CTGACAGAGGCGGAGAGTTCTCTTCTCGCCTTCTGCGAGACTACTGTCGTGCACGGGGGATCCGCCAGACCTTCACGCTTCCGGACTCACCACAGCAAAATGGGATTGCTGAGCGCCGCATTGGCATGGTCATGGATGTCGCTCGTACGTCCATGATGCATGCGGCTGCCCCCCATTTTCTGTGGCCGTTTGCGGTGAGGTACGCGGCGCATCAGCTCAACCTTCACCCCCGGGTCTCTCGGCCTGCGATGTCCCCAGTCTTGCTGTGGACAGGGAAGGTTGGCGATGCGTCTGTGTTCCGTGTCTGGGGATCTCGGGCGTTTGTCCGCGACTTGTCTGCGGACAAGCTGTCCCCTCGTGCTGCTCCCTGTGTCTTTCTTGGCTTCCCCACTGACGCCCCAGGGTGGCAGTTTTACCACCCCTCCTCTCGTCGTGTTCTGTCCTCCCAGGACGTCACGTTCGACGAGTCAGTCCCCTTCTACCGTCTCTTCCCCTACCGCACTCCTTCCCTCCCCCCTCCCCCGGACTTCCTTGTGCCGGTTCCCCCCCCGGTAGACCCCCTCCCCCCTCAGGTTCCTGCCCCCTCAGGTGTGTCCCAGGTAGACGCCGTTGACCCGGTCGAGGTTACTGGTGACTCTGGTCCTGCTGCGGGTGCTGAGCCTGGGGGTGCTGACTCTGGGGGTACTGTGCGCGGGGGTGCTGTGCCTGGGGCTGCTACTGCTGGGGGTGCTGGGCCTGAGGGTGCTACTGCGGTGGGTGCGGAGCCTGGGGGTGCTGAGCCGGGGGGTGCTGTGCCTGGAGGTGCTGGGTCTGGGGGTGCTGGGTCGGGAGCTGCTGAGCCTGGGGGTGCTGAGCTGGGAGCTGCTGAGCCTGGGGGTGCTGCGTCTGGAGCTGCTGAGCCTGGGGTTTCTCCTGCTGCTGCGTCTCGCCAGGAGCCCCTCTCTCCACAGGAGCTGCGTGAGTGGTTCGCTCGCCGCTGGAGGCGTGCTGCTGAGTCTGGAGGTGCTGCTGGAGCTGGAGCTGGAGCTTCTTCGATCGTCGAGGGTGCGGGTGCTGCCGGTCCCGGAGCTGCTGGACCTGCGGGTCCTCCTGGAGCTGGAGCTGCTGAGGGCGTTCGTGCTGAGCCTACTGCTGTTGGTCCTGCCGCTGGAGGTGTGGGTGGCGCTGGTGCTGTCGCTGAGGGTGCTGGTGCTGTCCCTGCTGAGACTGGAGCTGCCGCGCGGCCTCGGCCGTACTTCGTTCCGCTCCTTCAGCAGGTTCTTGGTCTTTCTCCTCCAGTAGAGGGTCCACCGCCTGTCCAGTCGCAGTCCCTACTGGAGCCTTCCTCTCCACTGCCTGCTCCCTCTCCTTACACTGGTCCTACTGGAGGTCTTGCTGAGCGTCGTGAGCCTGCGTCTCGCCCCGCGTCGCCTGTTCGTGCTGCTCGCGCTAGTGGTCGCAGTTCGCGTCAGCGTCCTCCTCCTGTCCCTGGCACGCACCGGATGTCTCTGCGTCCGTCCACTGCTCCTCTGCGTGCCCCTTTGCCTTCTCCTCCTGAGTCCTCTCTTCCTGCGCTTGCCGACCCAGAGTCGGACTCTCTTCGCGCTGCGAGTCCTACTGTCACGCGTCTGCTTGCTACTGTCGTCACTGACCCCTCTTTTGAGTCCACTGCTGCGTCTGCTCTAGTCGCTGAGCTCGTCGACTTTGCTGCTCGCTGTCGTCTCGACTACGCTGCTAGTCTTGTTGCTGAGTCTGCGTCTGTCTGTCCTCCGTCCGTCGGGGGTGAGTGTGCTCTTGGCACGGACGTCCTAGAGGACAGGCAGGAGGAGTTACAGTGTCTAGCGGCTGCTTCACCTCATCTCGCGTCTGTACTGCTTGCCCCTGAGGGAGACCCGGATGCACTAGACATCCCGACTCCGCGTTCTTACGCGGAGGCCGTAGAGGGCCCCTACTCCTCTCAGTGGCAGGCAGCCATGGATGCAGAGATGGCTTCCTGGAAGTCCACAGGCACCTACGTTGACGCGGTTCCCCCTCCTGGGGCGAACATCGTCAGTGGCATGTGGATCTTCAGGGTGAAGCGGCCGCCGGGCTCTCCACCTGTCTTCAAGGCACGGTACGTTGCTCGTGGCTTCAGTCAGCGGCAGGGAGTTGACTACTTTCAGACCTTCTCTCCCACCCCGAAGATGACTACTCTTCGGGTGCTGCTGCACGTAGCCGCTCAGCGCGACTACGAGCTTCACTCTCTCGACTTCAGCACTGCGTTCTTGCAGGGTAGCCTGCACGAGGAGATCTGGCTTCGCCGTCCACCTGGCTTCACTGGGACTTTCCCTCCTGGCACCCAGTGGAGCCTCAGACGGCCAGTCTACGGTCTCCGCCAGGCACCGCGTGAGTGGCACGACACACTGAGGACTACGCTTGCGGCTCTTGGGTTTGCTCCTTCTACTGCTGACCCGTCGCTGTTTCTTCGCACCGACACTTCTCTGCCGCTGTTCTACATCCTCGTGTACGTCGACGACTTGGTCTTTGCCACAGCGGACACTGCTGGACTCGCCTACGTGAAGTCCGAGCTGCTGAAGAGACACACGTGCACAGACCTGGGTGAACTGCGCAGCTACCTTGGCTTGCAGATCACTCGGGACAGAGCACGCCGCACCATTACCTTGACTCAGTCACACATGGTGCAGCAGGTCCTTCAGCGCTTCGGCTTCACGTACTCCTCGCCTCAGGCCACTCCTCTGCCTACTCGCCACTCACTCTCAGCTCTGCCTTCGGATGAGTCCGTAGAGTCGAGTGGTCCGTATGCAGAGCTTGTTGGCTGCCTCATGTACCTGATGACCTGCACACGACCTGACCTTGCATACCCTTTGAGCATTCTTGCACGCTATGTTGCTCCTGGGAGACACAGACCGGAGCACATGGCTGCAGCGAAGAGGGTATTGCGCTACCTGTGCAGTACGTCAGGCATGGGGCTAGTGCTTGGAGGGCGGAGTCCAGTGGTCCTTACCGGCCACGCGGACGCTTCTTGGGCTGACGACCAGGCTACGCAGCGGTCGTCACAGGGTTACACTTTCAGTCTTGGTTCCGGCTCTGTCTCGTGGCGGTCTACTCGCTCGTCTTCGGTTCTCGGCTCCAGTTGTGAGGCTGAGATCTACGCCGGAGCCATGGCTGCACAGGAGCTTCGCTGGCTCACCTACCTGCTGACTGACCTTGGAGAGCAGCCTCGTTCTCCTCCAGTGCTGTACGTAGACAACAAGGCTATGCTGGCCTTGTGTCGAGAGCAGCGCTTGGAGCACAGAACGAAGCACATTGCTCTCCGCTACTTCCTTGCTCGTGAGTTGCAGCAGCGTGGTCAGTTGCGACTTGCGTACGTGGCCTCTGAGGCCAACACTGCTGATGTGTTCACCAAGGCACTTGCGCCTTGTGACCATCAGCGCTTCTGCACCCAGCTAGGTCTTGTGCCTGTCTTGCCTCACTTGCTCTCCTCTTGACTTTACTTGTACTGTGACATATATATATACCTGCTCTTGCTTGTCTAGTTTTATATATATATGTCTGTACTCTTGCTTGTGAACTGGCCTTTGGCCTTGTTCTTGTGCTCGGACTGTGTGGTGTCTTTGTGATCCACCCTGAGCTTTGCTTTGTCTTGCTTGACTGGTCTTGTGACCCCTTGTTCTCCCCCACTTTGCCTATGGGGGTGTGTCAGAACATATCTATAGCTTATACTGCTGTGTAGGCTGTAGTGGGGTATCCCATAGGGGGTACAACCCAGTTAGGGTTTCATATTTGTACTGCTTTCATTCATAGTTCATCTCATTCCTGCTTATTCATTTACACACCAACTACACTGGCACACGTCCAAGCCGCACACGACTTCGTCACCACCATGCAGCAGCTATGGGAGAAGACTCAGCGACGTCTCACCACGATGCAGAACTCCCAGAAGCAGTATGCCGATCGCCAGCGACGTGATCACACCGTAGCAGTCGGAGATCAGGTGCTTCTCGACACACGCAACTTGGACTTGTCTCACATTCCGTCCAAGCTCCGGCCTCGCTTCTGTGGTCCTTTTCACGTTGAGGCACAGGTGACACCAGTAACATTCCGCTTGCGCTTACCTACTACGTGGAAGCTTCACAACGCTTTCCATGTTCAGCTGCTGAAGCCCTACAAGGACCCCAACCAGCAGTTTACAGGACGACAGCTACCGCCACCACCACCTATTCTCGTACAGGATGAACCAGAGTACGAGGTGGAACGAGTTCTCGCTCATCGACGCAGACGCGGGAACACGCTCGAGTCCCTGATACGTTGGAAGGGATATGACCCGTCGGAGGACAGTTGGGTGTCAGAAGCTGATATGGGCAACGCACGCCGTGCTCTCAAGGACTATCTTGTCAAGCAGGGTGTATCTCACGCCACCCAGCTTTGAGGGGGGAACGTGTGAGAGTACGACGGCTTTGCTATGATTTACTAGCTTGATTATGCTTTATTATGCATTATCTACTTCGCTTTATTTTGCTTTGCTTGCTTTTGCTAGATTTCCTAGGTTCGTTGCTTTTTCTATATTATTATAGTTATAGGCACCGAACTAGGTTGCGTGCACCGAATTTTCGGTTGCCACCGAATTGCCTTCTACCGAATTCGGGAAGGACCCGTTCGGGACGCTTCGCGACCCGCGGAACCTTCTAGTAACACCCGGGTTACTGCCTTTGTGTCGAGCCTAAATATAGCCTCGCCTTGTACCCAGGTGATTCATTCAATAGAATTATCTTTCCTAATCCAGATCCTCATAGGGAGAATGGAGGAGAGGGAGGTGGATGGAGAACGAATGGGTAGGCGAAGACGATGGAAGTGAAAGGGAGAGAGATTGGAGGGGAGAAGGGGCAAGCAGGGAAGGAGATGGGGGAGTAGTAGAAGGAACGGGAGGTGAAAGAAGGAGAGGAGATGGGAGGGGAAGAGAGGGCAAGAGTTCAGCACGGTGGAAATACAAACTCAACCGACCACTTACATTGGCCTGGAGCATGCAGCAGGTGAGGCGCGGAGGCGAAATTATTTGAGCCAAAGGCGAACCCAGTCGCCTGTTTGGGTCAGGAGGCAAGCAGCAGGCGAGGCATGGAATTGTTGATATTTCTCAACATCACCTTGATGACTTTCTAGTCAACCCGAAAGCACCCTGCAAGACAAAGGCGATCCGAGGCATAGGAAGCAGGAGAGCAGCAGGAGAGGTGAGGAGGCATTGAGCTGATCGCTTGCTGCCTACCGAGTGAGCAGCAGCAGCCCCCAAGCACCACTGATGAGCCCTGGCTCGCTGCTCCATGCGCCTTGCCATGGCTCACTGCTCCATGCGCCTTGCCATGGCACCATGCGTCATGCACCCTTCCATGGCTATCCCATGTTCTCAGCCGCTGCCGCGAATCTTGCGGTTCCCCATGACTTGCCTTGCGAATTTCATGCTCCTCACAGCCTTGCGTCGAACCACCCAGGTACTCCCACCAGGTGCTCACACTCGCACTCGCACTCACACTCACACTCGCACTCGCACTCACACTCACACTCGCACTCGCACTGAAGTTGAACACACACACACACACACTGGTGGCTGTGGCCGCCCTGCTGATCCATCCGTATCCCCTTCTTCCCTCCCGCCACCGCCCTCCTCCCTCCCACCACTCCCTCGTGTCTTTCTCTCTCTGCCCCAAAATCTCTCTTCCCAACCACCACCCCATTACATCATGCCCAGCATAATGCTGCCGCCGCACTGCTGGCCACACAAACTCCAGTTTCCCCGTCCCTCACACCCTCCCTTCCGTCCGTCGTTCCTTCCTGTCGCCCATCCCTCACCTCTGGCCAAGCCAAACCCAGGTACGCCCACCACGTGGCCCCCCTCACTGGAGGTGAACGCGTTGCTGGCTGCACTGCTGCCTTAACCCCCTTTCTCCCTCCCCTCCCTGGCCCCCCTCTCCTCCCTCCCCTCCCTGGCCCCCCTCTCCTCCCTCCATTCCCTCTCTCTCCCTCCCCACTCCCTTGCACCCACCAAGGTACGGACCACCAGGTGGTCACCCCCAAGCTGAACACGCTGCTGCACTGCACTGCACTGCACTGCACTGCTGGCCCACCTCCCTCCTCCTCACCCAGGTACGCCCAGCAGATACGCCCTCCAGGTACGCCCACCAGATACGCCCTCCAGGTACGCCCAGCAGATACGCCCTCCAGGTACGCCCACCAGGAAGGTACGCCCACCAGGAAGGTACGCCCATCAAGTGGTAATTTCCGAGCTCAGTGCGTTTTGGTCCCCTCCCCTGGTGCGAACTCACTAAGGCACATACCGCTGGCCCGCCCTCTCTTCCCTCTTTCCTCCCTCCATCCCCCTATGCCCCCTCTTTCTACCCACCTCCACCCACCCAGGTACGCCCAGCAGGTGGTGAACCGGGAGATAAATGCATTGGTTCACACACACACACACACACACACATAAGCACACACACACACACACACAAGCGCACACACACACACACACACAAACACACACACTGCTGGCCTAGCACCCCCCTCGTCTCCCTTCCTCCCCCCCCGGTACGCCCGTCAGGTGGTGACACTTGAGCTCAACGCGCTCGTGGTGGCCCTGCACGCATGCACGCACGCATGCATGGGGAAAGAGAGCGGCAGAGGTAAGAGCAGCACGGTTGGAATGGTTGCCAGGTCGTGCACTCGTGCGAGGTGCTGGCGCCTAGACTGCACTAGGTGACTGGGGCAGGTAAGAGAGGGTGCGTGCATGCATGGGGAAAGAGAGCAGCAGGGTGCAAACGGTGAGTGGTGGGAGAGAAGTGTGTGGCGCTGGGAGGGCCAAGTGTAAGCAGCTTCAATTATCCTCTCATCTCCTACCTCCCTCCTCGCTGCTTCTCCTTGCACTTCATTGCCCTTATCCACACCTTCCACTGTCCTCACATGCCGCCCAGCCAGGCCGTCAACCGCCCTTGCTGTAAAGTGAGTGCTGCTCTGGCGAGTGAGTGCTGCTCTGGCGAGTGAGTGCTGCTCTGGCGAGTGAGTGCTGCTCTCCCGAGTGAGTGCTGCTCTGGCGAGTGAGTGCTGCTCTCCCGAGTGAGTGCTGCTCTGGCGAGTGAGTGCTGCTCTCCCGAGTGAGTGCTGCTCTGGCGAGTGAGTGCTGCTCTCCCGAGTGAGTGCTGCTCTCCCGAGTGAGTGCTGCTCTGCCGAGTGAGTACTGCTCTGGTAACACACACAGTACTGTGGGGTGTTGGTGCTGCCAGGTAACACACACAGCATTGTGGGGTGTTGGTGTTGCCAGGTAACACACACAGTGCTGTGGGGTGTTGGTGCTGCCAGGTAACACACACAGTACTGTGGCAGGGGCAGGCAGTGCGCAGTGGGAGGGGCAAGTGTGTGGTGCTGGCGCCAATCGTGGAGGTGCCTGGAGCAGGTGAGGGGGGAAGGGGCAAGTGAGGGGGTAAGGGGCAGGTGAGGGGGGAAGGGGCAAGTGAGGGGGTAAGGGGCAGGTGAGGGGGGGAGGGGCAGGTGAGGGGGTGATGGAAGGTGAGAGAAAGGGTAAGGGTTGTCATGGTTGCTAGGTTGTACACGTGTGTATGGTGCTGGCGCCTAATATGGAGGAGGTGATTGGGGCAGGTGTGGGGGGTGATGGCAAGGGGTGTGAGCATGGTGTAGTGTACGGGTGTGTGTGCTGTGCTGGGAAAAGGGGCCAAATGTGATGGGGAATGGAGGGGGTTCTTGCTTTGGTGGTCTGTTGTTGGTTCTATCCTGAGAGTATGTATGTGAGAGGTAATCCATGTGGTTGTGCCTAGACAAGGTGAGTGCAGGTGAAGGTGGGGCATGGGGGGACTGGTTAAGGTGATGCCATGTGACCAGGCGGATGGGGGAAGAGTGGAATGGAAAAAGGGTGTGGGCTATACTGCTGGTTCAATGTAATCAAGGTGGGCAGTGCTGAGCGCGGTGGCGGAAGGAAGGCGAAATGATCAGGTGTAATCTGTAGGACAAGGCCCGTGATGGGATGCTGTGCTATTAGGTAATACACGTTGAGGTGGGGAATGAATGAAGTGCACATGTGAGGGGTGATGCATGCAACATTCCCATGCGCGTGCCTCTCTCAGCCACTGCCTCGATGACTGCAAGACAGGTCAAGGTGACTAGAGGCCGAGGTGGGGAATTGGTGCTACAGATACCACTGAGGTTGCCTGTGGGTCTTATCCCATGAGCGCATGTGTGAGGGGTAATGCGCGCAGTATTCAAGTGCTCGTGCGTTGTCCCGCCACCGCCTCACCAAGGTTACTGCCGGCTACCGCAGCTGAGATGTTTTCTCTTTGCTTATCAACTGTAGTAACTTCACTTGCTTGCCCTCACCTGTACAGCATTGGGGTCCGCAGGCTGCTCAAGAGCGTGCTGGCTGAGGCAGAGAGGGGGACGGGGTTATGGGGGGAGGTGAAAGTGGGAAGGAGGCAATTGGTGCGTGAGTGCTGGGAAGAAAGCGCCGGGGCTGTATGCACACCCTTGGGGCGCACTGGCTGATGGAGATATGGTGGGGATATGATGGGGATATGATGGGGATATGATGGGGATATGATGGGGATATGATGGGGGATATGATGGGGATATGATGGGGATATGATGGGGATATGATGGGGATATGATGGGGATATGATGGGGATATGATGGGGATATGATGGGGATATGATGGGGATATGGTGGGGATATGATGGGGATATGGTGGGGATATGATGGGCTGATGGGGATATGGTGGGGATATGATGGGGATATGGTGGGGATATGATGGGCTGATGGGGATATGGTGGGAATATGGTGGGGATATGATGGGCTGATGGGGATATGGTGGGGATATGGTGGGGAGCTGATGGGCTGATGGGGATATGGTGGGGATATGGTGGGGAGATGATGGGCTGATGGGGATATGGTGGGGATATGATGGGCTGATGGGGATATGATGGGGATATGGTGGGGATATGATGGGCTGATGGGGATATGGTGGGGATATGGTGGGGAGCTGATGGGCTGATGGGGATATGGTGGGGATATGATGGGCTGATGGGGATATGTTGGGGATATGGTGGGGATATGATGGGCTGATGGGGATATGGTGGGGATATGGTGGGGAGATGATGGGCTGATGGGGATATGGTGGGGATATGATGGGCTGATGGGGATATGATGGGGATATGGTGGGGATATGATGGGCTGATGGGGATATGATGGGGATATGAGAGCAATGATGGGCTGATGGGGATATGATGGGGCCAGAGAGGGGCAAATCGCCACCGTGCTCCCACGACCATCTCACTCCCACTACCGTCTCACTCCCACCACCACAATCTCACTCCCACCACCATCTCTGCCATGCAGGAAATGAATTCTGCTGGGGCAACACAAGAGGTCCACCAGACAGATTGCATCCAAGGCTTGCTACAGTCAAATGCCGAGTCAATGCAGGCAGTTTTGGTTGCTTGCCACTTCGTTTATAATACGATATGCGGTGATATGTACGTTGCGCAATTGCGCTACACTAGATAAGTTTGCATCTGTTGTAGCATGTGAATGGATCGCAATTAAGCGATGGTAGAATCTGCGGAGAAATAAAAGTTTTACCTAAAACTCTGTTCAATACGCAGATTTGCGCAAGGAATTATATTTTGTACCTGTAGGTTTTCTAAAGCTTGTACCGTATGTTCCGAGGAGTTCGCTTCAAACGGTTCGGCCTATAATTTCGGCCCGAACCACTTCCGTTTCGCCACCGCACCTTTCGCCAACTTCCAAGCCTGGTTTACCCTGCTGTTCTCGCCTAGCTCAGCTCTGCCTATATTTTCCCTCTCACATTCGTTGAGCATTCAGTCCTGTAGGTTTCTAGCCTGTAAGCTCCTAACTTTTTTCCAAACCGTTAAATGTCCGGACCAGCTTCTCAAACCGTACGGACAGCGTCGGTTCGGAAGGTTTTGGACATTTGTCCAGACGAGTCCCGTACGGACAGTGAACGGACGAAAATATCCGCCAGAAATGTTAAAAAGTGTCACATTCCATCTGTACGCCTGCGACGTCGCCAAGGACCTCGCGAACAGCCATACGAAGAGTGTCGAAAATAGTAACCACGTCTGCCGTCCGAACCATCCCAAGTACGGACCGTGGTTCGGAAAAAAGTTACACGCTCTAACTGTTGGTATAGCGTAGCACACATTTCGTCACACCACCATCCAGCAATGGCCACATCCAGGTTCTGTAGGAGTAAGGTAGTGGATCGATAGTCGTCGCGTCGAAGCGACGAACAGGGCGACGAGAGCGAGAAGAGCCGATTTCGATGGCGGAGAGCCGCGACAGCAGAGGCGCGAGGAGCAGCAGCAATGGCGAGTGGGCAAACAGGAGGTCCAAGCTTGACATTTATTGAGAGACGTCATGATACGGTGGCGATACTAAATTGGCAATCGAAGGAGGTTTGGAGCGTTAAGTAGTGGCGCAATCGCTGCATAATCAGAGCGACAGACAGGCAACGAACAGAGCGCGACGTACGGCGATGAGAGAGCAACGGACAGTGACGCGAGGGAGGGTCCGCGACAGAGAACGCGACGGACTGCGATGAAAGAGCGACAGACGGCAGCGACGAAACCGCGAGCGGCGGTCTACGGCGAAAAAGAAACAGTGGACGATGATAAGGCCACAAAAGTTGTTTCGCGATGGCGGAGAGCCGCGGCAGCAGACGTGCGAGAAGAAGAGGCAATGCCGGGTAGGGCAAGCGCGCGCGTGCGGCGGCGGAAGCGGCCGAGATAGCGGCGGCGACGGCAGCGGCAGTGGCGGAGGCAGCACCGTCATTGCGAGCAGCACAGGCCGGAGCCGCGGCAGCGCGAAGAGGCGGTGGAAGCCGGTCGCCCCCGCCGCCGGCGCCAACGTCACCGATACCACCGCAAGTCCCGCTGTGCGCGCCTGTACCGCCGCCTCCGCGAGAATCCGCGGAAATCGGCTTGCACGCCACTAGGACACGGAGTGCATATGGGGCTGCAGCGACGGGCGGCCGCGCGAGGGGGAAGGGGGGGCGGAGTGGGGAGGGGAGGGGGAGAGGAAGGTGAGGATGTGCGTGGATTGGGTTTGACGGAAACGAGGCGAGGGGTGGATGAAGGGGGAGCAGGGGATGGAGCAGGAGGGCTGAGGAGGGAGAAAGGGCAGGTGGAAGGTTAGGGTAGGGACAGGTGTGAGGAGGGGCAAGGATCTTGGAGTCACTAGGTAAGGATCGAGAGAAAAAATGACTAAGGAAGGAAGAGTCGAGAGTACAAAACCCCAAGGAAATAACCCCCTAGAGTCAACCCCACTAAGCCTAACATATAATCCTAACATATAAATATATGTTTGACACACCCCCATAGGCGAAGTGGGGGAGAACAAGGGGTCAGAAGACCAGTCAAGAAAAGCAAAGCAAAGTAAAGCAAGCTCAGGGTGGATCTCAAGGATGCCACACAAATTTCGAGCACAAGTTCAAGGCCACAAGGCCAGTTCACATGCACCAGAGCATATATATATATAACAGTCCTAAACAAGAAAGAGCAGGTATATATACATGCAACAGTACAAG